TCAAGGACAAACTTTTTTTTTTTTCACAGCTCACAGCAACCTCCAACTCCTGGGCTCAAGCGATTCTCCTGTTTCCGCCTCCCAAATAGCTGGGACTACAGGTGCCCGCCACAAGGACCAGCTATTTTTTGATTACAGCCGTCATTGCTGCTTGGTGGGCCCAGGCTGGATTCAGCTCAGGTGTATGTGGCTGGTGCCTTAGCCACTTGAGCCACAGTCGCCAAGCCAAGGACAAACTTTAAATGAAGGAAAAAACGTAAAGTTGGCCCTCTGTACCCATGGTTACACCTCCATAGATTAAAAATTTAAAAAAAAAAACCTAAAAATAACACCAATAAAAAAACCAATATAACAATTATTTATGCAGCATTTACAGTGTATTAGAGATCATAAGTAATCCAGAGATGATTTAAAGCATAAGGGAGGATATGCATAAATTTTATATAAATACTAGGTCATTTCACAGAATGGATTTGAATATCCACACATTTTGGTATCTCCGGGGGTCCACCAATCCCTTGTGGATACTGAGGACAACACTATTTCATGCACAGGTATATACATGATTTCTTTCTCCATATTCTCCCGTTCAAAATCTATAAAGTTACACTTATATTGGTCTTTTTAAAAAATGGATACTTTATGTCTGTAATCCTAGCACTCTGGGAGGCTGAGGTGGGAGAACTGCTTGAGCTCATGCATTCCAGACCCCATTTCTACTAAAAATAGAAAAAATTAGCTACAGGTGATACTTACCTATAGTTCCAGCTACTTGGGCAGCTAAGGCAGGAGGACAGCATGAGCCCAAGAGTTTGAGCTTGCTGTGAGTTAGTCTGATGCCACAGCACTCTAGCCTGGGGCAAGAGTGAAACTCTCTCTTTCCCCTACCCCAAAACACAAAAAATTAAACAAACAAAAAAAAAAACTGCTGCAAACAGCTACTTTGATAATATATGAATTATAAAACATGAGATACAAGAAAGATGAAAATAAAGAGAAAGGAATGTGGTTTATTCTCAGATTCTCAGAGAGCCCAGACACCCCATCCCATCCCCTCCAACCCCATCTCAACATAATCTAGACCAAAGTAATACTGTTAAAAATAAATGCCTAAAAGAAGTCTATAACTACAAAAGAAGCATCTTATAAGCATATTAAACTTCATGAAAGGAAACATATCACTTGAAATGCATTAACTGTAAATTATATTTGGAAAGAAAGCTTTTAAGTAGACATATTCACTTGGCTCGAAATGTCACCAACATACAACTCACAATAATGAAAAAGCCCTCTCTAAAACACTCTGATTTTGGAAAATAAACTAATTATTAAAAGATCAACTAAGTGCTTCTTAATATTATTTACGTGAGAGAAAAAACCTAGTTTGTCCTGTTTTACTATGAAGGTCTCACAAACACTCAGTTCAATGGATGATGATCACAGAGAAAGCACAGAAAGGCAAACTGAAATTCAATCCATCTAGAAAGGAGGATCTACTATCACGATTCATTCTCATTCCCAATCTAATCATTTTTATGACTCTTTAAACAAAGAAACTGCTTATTTTTAGTTATAAAAAAGATTTCTTTTTTTTTTTTTTTTTTTTTTTTGAGACAGAGCCTCAAGCTGTCCCCCTTGGGTAGAGTGCCGTGGCATTACAGCTCACAGCAACCTCCAACTC